AAGATAAATATATGCCGAAAATTGTTTCGACAAGATATCAGTTGCTGAAAAGCAAAAGTTGAGACTCATGATGAGAACTATCGAAATCAAGCTCGTAAGACCAGGAAATAGTTTTTGAATAAACAGCCATTACTTAGAATATTCTTCGACAATCAATCGTAAAGGCTACCGAAGAATTTACCTTTTTTCAAATATCTTTCTTTTTTTATTTCTTTTTGTTAAAGTGTGTATTGTGCTTTGATCTTGCTCTTACAACGAAAGATAAGAGTATATTTAATAATAATACTCTGTTATTTCTGCATATTGTCTCTATTTCATGCTGTTACTGTTTACTTTTCTTATCTGTCTCTTTTCTGATCGCATGAAGAAAGCATTCGCGTATTGATATCATCCTTTTTTTCGTTCTCTCTTCTGCTTGTCTTTTTTCTATGCGTTTACCGCTTAATTTGCTCATTTCTCTCTTATTACCTCTAGTCAAGCGAAGTTATTTGCACATTACCATTGGCCATGTGTGTCTAGCTTCTGTTTGCTTAGCTATGATTAAAGGAAGATTATTCTCTTTTTCTCTTTTTCTCTTACTACTCATATGAATGAAACTAAATTAGCTTTTCATTATTGTACACACTGTATTTTGTCGTAGTCCGTACGTATTATTCAATATCTTGTCTGGAATTTTTTTACGATGGCACTGTTATTTAAGAGCGTATTGCTTTACTTATTCATATTTGTATTCTAGATAATATATGAGATGTGTAAGTCTGAAATTTTTTCACATGAGTTACTTCTCTTCTTTCAGTTTTAATTTAGGTTTATTGACTACTATTAATTTATTAAAATGTTCCATTTCGTAGATCGATGAGATACTTCCTCAACCATTAAATTTAAGATAAATGATGTACAAACAAATAAGATAAGAACAAATGCGAACTTTTCTTTTCTTTTTCTTTTCTTATGTATTAGTCATTCTTCGATAGTGATACGAAAAAATAAGGTGGTAATTGTAATAGCTATATAGCAATTGAGTTCTTTTCGGTATCACTACCACTGTCTTTCTTTTCGTTGTTTCTTAGTTCAGCTGTATTAGTTATAATTCTCTTGATTTAATTGGATTTTTCTTTGGATTTATTCTTTGGCTCTATGTAAGACTGGTGTCCATGCTGCATTAATTTCATTATGGTTAAATAAATTGCTTCTTTTTTGTGCATCTTTACCAATAGGCTTTTTCTTTTTCAATAATAAATGAATCATTTGTATCAAATAAACATTAAAGCTTCTTCTTCTTGACAATGTTTAACCATTTCTGAATTACTATTATCGTGACATGAACAAGGAACTTGATATATTACAGATTTTTATGGAATTTTTAATGATTGGTTGAATTATGATTGTAATTTGTATAGATAAGAAAAATATAATTTGATTTTTAATTTATTTCAAGTCTTCTTTTTAGTATTTCCATATCAGAAATATCTGGTAATGATGAAGTACATTTTATTTCTTTATCCTTGTTTTGAGTTGACTTATTCTTGTTGTTTTGATCATTAACATTGTTTTTATCTGATTGAAATTCTTCACATATTTGCTGTATTAATTTTTCTATTTCGTTTAATGGATAGTTTGAATTTAATAGCATGTTTTCTAATTTAATTAAATCTTATTTTTGATCTTGATGATCTTGCGTTGTTTCTAAGATTTCTGTGGCCATGCTTTTAGAGATATTTGTTTTGAGGGATTTTCCATGACTTCATATATAATTTAACAATTTATCAGCAGCTGCTTCTTTTCTAAACCATCTAATTTTAAGTTTTATTAATGTTGTATCGAGAAAATTTAATCTATTATTCCGTTCAAATTCTAAGGAGAATTTAATTATTCCACGTATTTTATTTAAATCATCATCATAGTCTTTTAGTTGTTGTTTATTAATTTTCGTAATGATTAACATAGTATCAACATATCTCCAGATTTTATTTGGAACGTTGACTTGATGTAAACGTTGTTTATGCTAATCGTCCATATGAATATCGGCTAATAGTAGTGATAATGTGTTACCCATAGCTAGACCTGTTTTTGTTTATAAAATTTATTACTAAATTGAAAATACCTGCTTTTTAAAGGTAAATTCAATAAATCTTTGGTATCAGTTTTTGTAAACGGTAAATTGCCTTGTATTACTTTCATAACTTTTTTCCTCATTTGTGTTTTAATTGTGGTTGTTAGATCTTTTTCAGTTGTTCATATGCATTCATATCATTTGATTTTTTTTCAATCTTGTTAATATAATCACATTTGTCCATTATCATGACTTTTTAACATTTGTCTGCTTGAACAATAACAATACCTTCAATTAGTTTGATTTCTTTTAACATCTCAGTTCCTTATTTATTCTTATTGTACGTCTGAGATTTTTCATATTTTTGTAAAAACATTGGCATTTCTAATATAGCTGCACTTTTATTTAATACTGATGTTGAATACAATGATTTTTCACAATTCACCATAATTGTTACTGTATTAATTGTTCTTTCTGTTGGAACAAATTTTTATCCTTTTGATCAATTTTTTCGGGCGTTCTTGACTCAATTGAATTTTTGACAGATGAATAATATTTGATGTATCAATTGTTGTTTGTGAATTTATCTTTTTTGTTGTTATTGATATTATTTCTTGCTGTTGTAATTGCTTTCCTTTTAATACTTCTATTTTCTTATCATGATTTTTAATCAGATTATTTTTAAAGTTTCCATCATATGTGTTGATCCATCTCAGGTCGTTTTGATGCCGTCTTGCTGCTTGTGATGTTGTTAAGTAATTAGTACAACATTGATTTATTTTAATTATTTTATTTAGCTTGTAATATATTATTTCTAATTTTGTACATCGTGTGCTTTAATAATTTTTCATTTTTGCCCAACTCTGTGATGTTCTTCAATTGAAATCCATTTTGTATTAAGTTGTGTTGTTTGCATTGTACAATGAATTTTATATGCTGCATGAATTTTCTTTTATGTATCATTTTCAAATGGCATGAAATAATGTACATTCCCTCTCCATAGAGGTTTTTGAATTCATGTATAGATAAGAAGGTTGAGTTCGTTTTTGGCATGAATTAATTCTCTTCTTCCAGTTCTAATTTCGTTCACAGATACTATATATAAGATAAATGACTTACAAATAAATAAAATATGAGCTAACAAACAAACAAACAAAAAATTTTGTTGTCTTTCTCATTTCTTATGTATTAGTCATTCTTCGATAGTGATACGGAAATGGATACAATCCATCCATACTAAACTATTACTATTACTGTGTCGTTTTTCCGTTTCACTATCGAAGAATAACTAATACACAAGAAAAAAAAAGAATACTGGTTGTTTGTTCGGATTTTATTTATTTGTAAATTATTTGTCTTCAATACAATGGCTCTGAGCTAGATTACAGCTGACAGATGAGAATTAAGTCATGCCAAAAATCAACTGAATCTTCTTATCTAAAAGAAGTTGTTGCCTCATCATATGTATAAACGTCGGCATGCATAATTCGAAAACTTCTTCTGATTTTTTAGCGATAATGCTCTACGAAATTGATAATCATGATAGTGCATGATTTTCAAAAAGCTTTTAGCCAAATCTCCATGAAATTAAAATTTGAAATATGTTAAAGCTGCTTCTGTCGTAGACAGAAGAATCATATAATCATATAATTCACGGTACTCGATAATTCTTTTTAAACAAAGTGTGATTGGTAACAATTTTGATTGCAACTCAAGTTGCTTAGACAGGTCAAGAGAAGTAAACCCCAAATCAGTTATTTTGCAGCCCATGCTGATCATAGGCTATTGATGGAGCAAATAGTGTAGTCATTCTTAGCTGCTCAATCGGCTAGTGGTTGATAATGGATATTCACTGCTCCTTCGACATGTCTGTCACGACTTGTGAGTGGCAGAAGATCGAAAAATTTCTCGTTATGTGTTCAATACTCCTTTACAGTCGTATTTCACAAAACTACAAGCCAAATAAGATAATATTTCAAAGATTGTGTTATTCCGCACATCAAATTCATGGACATTTTGGTGAAAACTTGGGAAACTGCTATACAAGTCATACATATAAAAATAATTTCTGTACAGCGATTTTGTGTGTTCTTTCTATCGTAAACATCCACTTTTTTATTTTTTTAAGTTAGGATAGTCGTGGTTACAATACGACGAAGCTTTAGTGTCGATTTTGAAAGTTACATCATTGCAGTATTCGTGACAGAGGAAGGGCTGAGTAACTGTGAACACGACTAGGTGATGGATTACAGATCCCTTAATAAAGTCTAAATGGAGACACGCTGGATTATTCTTCGTGAAGAACAGACGGACTTACGTAGCAAGATATCTTCACTTCAGTGAAGTAATGAGAGTATAATTCTTTTCATTTGTCGGGACGACTACATCCTAAATATAATTTTTTTTCATTTGGCAATTGCAGCTTTCTCAATAGCACTCACTCTTTTCAGACAACAAAAATGCCTCATATTTGCATTTTTCAAGTAATAATAATTTGTTCTTCTGAAACATTGTGTCAGATTAAAAGAAAGACTTGCGCTTCTATAATGATTATATTATTACATAACACTGTTAAAGAGCACCTTCTCTCCACAAGTTAGATTTGAGAGCAAAGTTGTGAAAAGTAACACATGTAATTGCATGATTAAAAACGAGCTACGTCGATAAGTATCAAATTGTCAGTTGAAGGGAAAGATACCGATTATCATGCTTGATACTGATCACTCTTACCCTTTTAAAACTTTCATGAATTAATTTTCTATGTATTATGTAACGGTAAGAGCCATCTCTTTGTAGTTAGCTTCTTCATTAGTGTTTATTATCATTACCTCAATTTTTTCGTCTTTCGTTTTCACTATTGTCGCGCATAAACGCTCTCTCTCTTATATATTTTGTAGATTGTAAATTAGCTTTCATCATGAGACTGTCGTCAAAAAACATTCTTGAAATGTTTTTCGAGATAGCACATACCTCTCCAAACCAGGTAGCGATCGAGCTCAATGAACAAACATGGACATATGGCGAACTATTGATGAATGTGATCTGTATCGCTCATCACCTTCAACTCAAGATAGGTGATATTGTCTACCAATATGTTGATCGTAGTTTAGAGATGGTATGTGGACTATTGGGAATCATGTGTGCTGGTGGTGCATATTGTCCACTAAGTTCTACAGACCCACCTATGTATGTTCGTGCCTTGATTGGTGAAATTCAAGGTCGATGTGTTCTCGTTCATGAAAATACACGAGAGAGATTCTCAAGTATGATTAGTGAGCAAATAAAAATGATCAATCTTGAACATATTTTACTAACTGACATCTCGGAAGAAGTTGCTGAAAAAAGTAATTGATTATTTTTGAGCAAATTCGCAATCACATGTTTTATTCATTTAGCAGAGATATATGTGGAGAGAGATAGTCCAAGTTTTATTATTTGTACATCTGACACAACCGGTCGAAACAAAATAATTGTGCATACACATGCATCTCTTATAGCAGGTCTTCATAATTTGATGATTTGGGACACAAAGCATGGTGATAAAGTTCTTCAAGTAGTTGCATCCTCGTGGGCCATTCACTTGTTTGAAATTCTGATGCCACTTGTGATAGTTCCTTCAGGCTCACTAGTGCTTTTACCACCTAAAGATAATTTGAATATGACCCATTTTTTCAAGACTATTAAAGACAAACAAATTACCATTCTCTTTATCAATCCATCATTGCTTAAAGTGTTGCTTGACTATCTCGAGCTGAACAATAGAGAATGCAATGAAACACTTGAACGAGTACGTATCTTATGGATATCAGGCGAATCTCCTAAAACACAACATCTGGCTAAAATCAAGTCTTTTTCTTCGCAAATCCGCATCTTTTTAATGTTCGGTATGAGTGAAACAAGTGCTGCTATAGGGTACGAAATCGAAGAAAGCATTGATCAACTTACAGATTTAAGTATCTTGCCTATTGGTTGTCCACTATCGGAATATCGGTGTTTACTTATGGATGAAAGCAACGATGAGCGAATCATTTCGCCATTGGATACCAACAGAATTGGTCAAATTTATCTTGCAGGTATTATCTTTTGTATTCTACTAAAGATTATCAAATTTTGTCATGTGTATATTAACAGGTGCTGGCCTTTTCCAGTGTTATTACAACAATCCTGAATTGACCAGTAGGACTCGGGTAATAATCAATAATGAAGAATTTTTCAAGACAGGTGATCTCGCTAGATACAATACAAAAAGTGAACTCGTGCATGCTGGACGCATCGATTTTCAAATAAAAATTGAGAATCAACGAATAGAACCAGCCGAAGTGGAGAAGACAATAATAGCTTGTTGTCCACATGAGATATCCAACTGTCTCGTGACTACATTATCCCAAGACAAAGGTTTACTCGTAGCCTATGTCATTGGTGATAAGACCCAGCTGGACATTGAATCAATTCGAAATTACTGCAAAGATCATCTTCGAAAACACATGGTTCCATTCTATTTTGTTGTTCTCGACAAATTCCCACTGAATGCAAATGGTAAAGTGGATAGAAAACAACTACCATTGCCATCGTTGTCCAATAATGGTTCAATACAATTTGTCAAAGCAGATGAACTTTTATCATCAGTTGTTTCAAAGTTCGACGTTCGTCTGTCTGACAGAACAGTTTCCAAAGGTAATCCTTCAAATGCATAATTAGAAGTCGTTAGACTGAGCTGTCAACTGTTGTTCAACAAGATAGAATCATTTATACCTTCGCCGAAAAAAGGAGTCTCTTCTTACATATCGAAAATAGTGAAACTGCTTGGTTTTAATTCTTGTTAGAGTATAGTTTTAATGACTAGCGAATTCAAGAAAATTTTGTAGGATATATGAATTCGAAGACAAGTTAAAGATTTTTCTTTACATACTCACTTTTCATTTTGTTTTCTACTATCGAGTCTAGTTCAAAGAGAATGCTGCCGAATACCACAAATCTCTTTGTGTCGATCCCATATATACTGAATGGTTTTCCACTGATTCTATCTTGAGATATCTCGTTTTTTGATAGGTCATATCTTTCTCTTCTGTAAATTAATCTTCTCTTTTTTCCTGTATAAGATACTCTGAAAAAATAGGGGTCTGCTATTGGGTAAAACGCAGAACCATCCAAAAGGGTTTTGATTATAAAGAAGATCTGTCAAGAACTCATCAAATCAATTACGACTGGCTGTTTAACATGGTGCAGTCTCATATAAAAGATGTCCAGATTCAATAGGTTATCATGAAACTTTATCACATGTGTAGGAGCAAGTTTGAAGTTTAGAAAAATTTTAATATGACAAGGTTCCATACTCTCCAACAACTTTTTTGGAGATTCAGAAATCCTTGGCACCCAGAAATAGACAATAACGTCAGTGCATGGAGCACTAAACTCGAAATCAGATGAATCGCTTCTAATGTAAAAAATACCTGACAAACACTATGCACAAGGCAGCTCTGTACTAGAGTGATCTAGTCTTCAAACGCAGAAGGACATCAGATAAACAATATCGAACGTTTTCTCAAACAAATCCTTTGCAAAGCAGCAATAGTAGAAAATTACGATACAGAATAAAATCAGTAATTTTCTCCAAACTACTTCCGTTTCTATATATTACTGGCAACGATCTGAAAAAATAAAATAAAATATTAGAATTTTACGACGAATGTCACTCACCATTGATTAATGATTAAGATGAACCTAACAATTAAAAGTAAAGTATTCGCTTTTATTCAGAAAATTTTCTTGTCGATCAGAATGAAGGAAAGCCTTTATATAAAGAAAGACCACCAGAAGTAATATGAATCAGAGTAATTTATTTACGGTTTGACTTCAGTTGAATATTTTGACTTGACATAACAGTTTTGGTTTCTCTGGTTTTTTAAATTAACCAATCAGAGTGGAAAATCGTTTCGAATACTTTTATTTTATTATTTGTGTTTAGTTAGGCAAAATATAACATAAATAACGAGTTCACGAAAGAAAATTCATGAGACAAACTATGTTTTTCGAAAATTATAATATATGGTATCATATATCATGGAGACAATAAGTAAATAAAGAAAAATGGATTAAGCGCATCTTTAGTTTGTTTTGTATGCTGAAGAAAAGACGAAGAAGAAGAAATAAAAACATAATCAATGTTTTTACATATAAACAATGGAACATTCTGATAAACATGATCTCTTCGATTGCATACGTGAAGGATATCTTGTTGTTTCTCAGTGATATTTTCTTTGTGGACATTTTTTTTTCGATTTATTAATGATCTAAGAGTTAATATAGGTTCCATAGACGGTATAATAGTTGATTCAAAAGTACTTTCGCTGTTAATAGCACTCATAAATTATTTTTCGGAAGACATAAGGTCATCTTTTTGTGAGTCCGATAGCATACTTATATTGTCCATTGGAACTAAAAATAAATTAAAAAATATATACATATAACAGTCAGTAAAGGAAGGAAAAGTTTCAAATTAATAAGCTAAAGATTGTCTTGAATACACAATACAAATTCGTTTGCATTCCGAGGGTTCAATATGCTTGTAAATAGTGGTATTATCGTTCTTGTATTTTTTCAACCATACTTAGCAGTGATTCGTCCCGAATATGAAAGGAAATATAGAATTTTAAAAGCACTATTTATAGTCTTTTTGTGAAAATATAACTTATGGTTGTTTATAACATTTATGTCTGACACGTGAAACAATGAATAGATTATTTGAAAACATAAATGAAAATAGCTAATAAATTTTTCACTTTTCTTCGCTGGTCTTCCCAGTCCTTTACCAAACTTATTCTTATTTTTTAGAGCTTGTTCATTAGTTTTTTGTATAGGTTTTTGTACATTCTTAAATTTCTGTTTAATAGATTCCGACCACTCATTGTAAAAGAGAGACTGAATATAACACAAATGAAAAAATACTTATATGACGCTTTAATACAGAAAAAGAGAAAAGTCGTTATTTTTTACTAATGTTTATCTCAACTCTTCCATTTTGTTTAAAAGAAAAGACTTTTGACTTCTTACATATTATAAGAAAAGAACTTTTTCAAGCTCATCAAAACATGTCTGTCATCTATTGATAAACACAGTGATCTTAAAACGGCTTTTTTTATAAAATAATTCTGGCGCTTTTGGATATCTGAAAAACAATAATTACATATTCGAAATATAAGTTAAGAACATGCAAGAAAAGAACTTTTAGTGACAGTAATTATGTGTATTAGCTATATCATCATATATCAAGATTAATAAAATCCTTCTGAGATGAGAATGATAAGTTAATTTAGTTAGATTCTTCCAATTAACAACTAACTTCAAATCAGCTAGTAATTATGATAATTCATAACTTTGTTGAATCTTTATTTCGTTCTTTATTAGTTGATCATTATTTTCTTCCTTGTAAGAATGATTATCACTTGAATTAGATGATAAAAGTTTAGTACTTTCTATCACTATTTCTTCAACAAATAGAATAGAAAACGTATTTTTTCGGAAACTGACTTGTTGGATAGTTTATCGCGTTCGCCCATAAATATCACTTGTTTTAGCTGCGATAATGAAGACTTAACTTCTTCATGTTACAAATTCAATAGTAAACATCTATCAATATCTTCTGCTAAGTATAAAGCAAGAAAAGAAAACCTGAAATGCGTTAAAATATTAACGGAAGAAGAATCTTTTACGAAGTAGCATCAAGTTTATGTAAAAGTATATTTATGCAATGATCTAAATTTATAATAGAAAATTTTTCAAGATAGGGAATCTCGTAGGACCATAACATTCCATCCACAAACAAAGTGTCTAAATGCTAGACAATAAATTTCGACGAGTTTCCTAATTTCAAGATGTAACGAAAAAGAATAAATTCTAGTGTTTCTTCATTCTAAAGCAAGTTTGTAATGGAAATCGAATTTTTAATGTATGTTACATGTTTCATGAATTAATGTTTGCCATTCAGTATATGTTAATGATGAATCAAGTTGAAGCTGTGTCAGTAAGTGTTATATATCTATAAGTAATTGCGACAACTTAACAGTTTTAGTCGATTTTGATTTATTAATTAGATTATCAAAATTTGTATAGAATAATAGTAAAGAAAGGCGAAGTTGGTGTCTGTTCGCTAATGCAAATGCAATATTTTCAAAATTTGATGAGAGTAAAGCCAATTTTTTGAAGTAGAAATACTTGCTTTCACACCTTTGACACCAATAGTTTCGTGCCGGACTATTTCTTTGTATTAGTCCATCATACTGGATAACAAAATACACTTTAGCAGTAATGTTACCTGATAATTTATCAAGCATTAATGAACGAAAAGAACGTGGTTAAAGCATTTAAATATGAAAACTAAGACTTTCTTACTTTAGTTGCAAATATAATTGAGACTATTTCACGAAGACAAGTCTATATAAGTAATAAGTCGGTTAGACAGTTAATAAAATTATTAAATATAATGAGTAACATTTGAAATAGTAAAAGTTTCTGTGAAGCTGATCCAGATAGATGATCATCTATCAGATGCTTTTGTCGAACAATTGGAAGTCTATCAGAGTTCTCATTTTATTCATATTTAAAGTCTTCTAGACTTTCTTTAACTTGTGCATAAGTGAGAATTTGATGATGATCACGCATACACCTAAAAAACCCATAACGCTTGTTATGTTTCCAGAATATTTGATGAACAGCAACACATTAGTGATAGATACTTCCCGAGAAATCATGCATAATATCGAAAGGTAATGATTACACTTGATGTAAATACCATTGATGTGAACTTTTAGATCGTAATAAAAACAAAAGCAAAATGTTAACGGAATAGGCTTGTAAGTTTAGGAAATGTAACACATTCGGCAAAAGTAATCATTATTAAAGTTTTTTTCAAATTCTTCCAGATCATTTTCCACCAAGTTGCCAGCGGCGATTAAATAACATATGAAATATAAATGTCCAGTGCACATGGATAACGTTAAAACTTAGATCTCTAATGCATTTGAGTCATGAATCATTGCTCTAGAAGAGGTGAATCAGTCTCATGAACTTTATAAATATCGGACCTAACAAAATTCGGCTTCTTTTTGTAGTGACATATCAAAAGAAAGGCATAGACACGATAGCGCAAGATCTGCACGCTACAAAAGAGAAACGCTACATAGCTTTTCTTTTTGAAATCGAAAAAAGACTGATGCTTGTATTTCAGTTGAAAGTGATAAATTTGGACAGAATTTGTGAAATTTGTCCGTGTAAATAAAAGCTTCACAGTAATACCTAGAATTTGAGTAATAAAATTAGTTGATTAAGTTTAATAAATAGTGGAGTTATAGGAATTTACTTTTCATTTGGACTTTTCGGACACCCTGTATATACATATCATTTTTTGTAATTTGATGGGCATTATGTCGAAATATATCCACATTGAAAAGTTGAGTTGGAAATTAATGAGATGTGAAACACTTGATGATAAAATTGATCTAGTTTGCTGCCGTTAAATACAAATAATGCTTTCTTAATGTCTAGGTGCTCGTCGATGCTCATCATCATTACCTTCCATTCCATTTCGATCATGCAAGAACAGCCATTGCATGATCATGGATAAACATTATTTGACAAATGCAAATGCAAATGCAAATAATAATAATATTCATATGATAAATGAAAAAAATTTTCGCAGATCGTTACCAATAATTGTTAGCATCTCAAATGATCAGTCACATACAAATGAAACTGATCGTTTTTTTAATGAATATGATTCATCAAATATTTTAACCAATTTACCAGATTTATGCGATCTTGAAGAAAGAGATGAAAATACATTACCTTTTCCAGGTTTTGTTGAAAAAGCTTTTTATTGTCTCGGGCAAACAACCCCACCACGCTATCAATGTTTAAAACTTATAACATGGTCATGGTTTGAACGTATAAGTATGTTTGTTATTTTGATTAATTGTATTACAGTTGGTATATACGAACCTTGTGCACGCCATACTGGTATAGAGTCATCGAAAAAATGCGATACAGCACTTTGTTTCTGGCTACAAACAACAGATTATTTTGTTTTTGCACTTTTTACAGTTGAAATGTGTATTAAAATGACAGCAATGGGAATATTCGGTAAAGGAACTTATCTTGCCGAATCATGGAATCGACTTGATTTTTTTATTGTTCTTACTGGGTACGATCATATAAACTTTTATTTTTGAACAAGAACACCTAAAATTTTCTTTAAGAAAATTGATCAGAGATTTGACGAGTTTCACTATGAAAATTATCGAAAGTGAGAAACATTTTTTATATAGGACTTTGAAAGAGGTTCTGTTTATTTCAAATCATTTGAGAGCTATCAATGGTTGAATTTTTTTCAACAATCATCAATAAAAGACATTTTGCAAGTTACTGCTGGCAAGGATATTTAAACATTCTTTGAAAAAATATTAATTCAATTCCCAATTTTAATGTTTTATCTTGATACACTGAAAATAATTTTTACAACAAGATCGAATTTTATGAAATGAATATTTTGGATCTATAAGATACAATAAAATGTAGAGATAAGAATGAAAAGTTGTTAACTATTAATATTTAGATTAGTGGAATTATTGATACCAGGTGATAATTTAAGCCTATCAGCTATTCGTACAGTTCGAGTACTTCGTCCATTACGTGTCATTAATCGTGTACCATCAATGCGTATTCTTGTTATGCTTCTACTCGATACATTACCTATGCTGGGCAATGTCCTTCTTCTCTGTTTTTTTATCTTTTTTATCTTTGGTGTTATTGGTGTACAATTATGGAAAGGATTATTACGTAATCGTTGTTTTTTACAACTAAATACTACAATTATAGATAATTATGCATTGTTGGAGTATGTTTATCGAAAACTAAATATTTCGTTTCTTATTTTCTTTTTTAAGTGATTTTCCTTTCCAATCTTTTTATATTCCGTCGGATCAAGATTCATTTATTTGTTCTGATCCATCGTCAAGTGGAATGACAAAATGTTCAGAAATTCCACAACTTCGTCGAGATAATATGATATGTAACCTTGATTTTCATTCATTGAGTTCATCATTAGCAAATAAAACAATAAATGGATGTATTAATTGGAATCAATATTATCAGTTATGTGCTATTTCTGATAAAAATCCATTTTCTGGAATGATTAGTTTCGATAATATTGGTTTAGCCTGGCTTGCTATCTTTCAGGTTCGTTTCTTATTTATTCGTTCAATATTTCTATGTTCACATTATCTCATTTTTAGATAATTACTTTTGAAAATTGGGTTAGTATAATGTATTATATACAAGACGCACATTCATTTTGGGATTGGATTTATTTTGTATGTCTTACTGTTATTGGGTCATTTTTTATGATGAATCTTTGTCTTGTTGTTATTTCTACACAATTTAGTGTAACCAAAAAACGTGAGACAGCACGAATGTTAGCTGAACAAAAACGTTTTTCACGTTCAACAACTACAGTAACAAGTGACCAACAAGGTTCTTGTTGGGAAGAAACAATTAAATATTTTCAGCGATTATGGAAACGTGCATATAAACGATTCAGAACATTCTGGAAAAATCATCGACAAAAATCTAATAAAGTAGATATGACAAAAAAATTCTTAAAATTAATCAGATTAATAATTCCTAATAGGAGAATCTCGATATGCTAGTTCTCAACGAATAGATCCTAGCCAGTCAATTAAATATCAACCAATCGGATTATGTGAACAATACTGTTACAATATGCATTTCAGTGTTTGTTATACTTCCACAAGTTTACAGTATCGAATATTTCTAGATCATAGATGTAGAATACAAAGATTCGAAAAAATTTTCACCTTCGAGATGACGTCAAATTTCATTCGGTCGCATCTCACAAATCCACTGTGATTCGCCAGCAAGTCACTAGAGGTTGCAAGTGGCACTATTTTGAGTCCTGTGTGGTTGATAGAAACTGATCAGTTTCTCAACATTAACTAGAGAACGCCTTTCTCTTCTGCGACCTTTGATTGACTATTGAATTTGTAGTAATCGGATCGATTACTATACCGTTTCAATGGTACCGATCAAAGGCCGAAACGAACCAAAGTTTTGGGATTCGAACTCTATTCTGCTTGGATACGATTCAGTTCGCTTTTGACCTCTTGTATCGATTGTCGAAAAATAATCGAGTTCACTAGGAAATATCCTCTATTGAATTTAAAGTACATTCACAAAAATAGTGCTACCGAAAAAGTTTTGTTCGATTCCAAAAAGTCATTTAGCTTTGATTAAGATTTGTACGTATAAAAGAAATAAAATTCAATAATTGTTTTTTCAAAGTTTAATAAAAGACATCATCGAAAAGCAAAAACAAGAAAAAAAGTTGTAATATCAAATGCATTACCTTCATCGAATGTCAATATAGTCTCATCAGCTCCATTCATTAATCAGAAACATCGACCAAATTGTCGACATAATCAGTCTCAATCATTATTAGTGCCAACGCCATTATCAAAATCAATTGACCGTGACACTGATACTTGTGAAATTTGTTCAGATGTAATTGCTACAATGCCAGCAAATAATAATTTATCTATTGAAAAAGACCGACGAAATAATGAAAATCTTGAATTTGAACGACAAGAACAACAAATAGAAAGAAATGATATTTGTGATTGTGATTATCAAGATGAAATTGTTCATATATCCGACAATAATCTAGAAGAAGAAAAATCAAAATTTCGTCAAAGATGTGAAATTTGTTGCTGTTGCTGTTGTTGTTGTTCATGTTTTAGAATAATACAAAAATTAATTTCACTTGTTGTTACTAGTAAATATTTTGATCACTTTATTTTCTTGGCTATTATTATGAATACACTTTCAATGTCTATTGAATATCATGGACAACCACAATCATTAACAAATGTATTGGAATATAGCAATTATGTTTTTATAATATTATTTACAATTGAAATGTTATTTAAAATAATTGCTGAAGGTTGTTTAAAATATATTAAAAATCTATTTAATATATTTGATGGTGGAGTTGTTTTAATTAGTCTTATTGAATTATATGAAGCAAAACACAGCGGATTGTCTGTTTTACGTACATTTCGATTATTACGTGTACTTAAACTTATCCGATTTATGCCAACATTAAGACGACAATTGGTGAGTTAGATTATAGATTAATATCCAAGTCGGCTAAAAAGGATTATCGTAATGACGCCGTATTGTCCAGTTATAACACAGGCAGAAATATGGCTGTGTATTTCCGTACCGTATACTATGAGATAAACGGCCGTAATCAGTGTTTTAAGGTAGCTGTATACGGATCATATTTTTATCATTGACGCCAATTTTTACAATATTTTCTCGTAGTTTACTCCTGCTTACGGTCAGTTTCCCCCTATTCAATTTATTGTGATACGTGGTTGTAGTATACTGGTACCTTGAAATTAGTGGCGTAACCAGATGGGAGCTCAGTCCCTCTCGAAAGCGTTGAGCTCTTCCTAAGAATGGTTGACTTCTGTTAAAAACCACGATGAGTCCCCTCTAAAGACGTGAGTAGAAGTGTCTTCGCCTCCTATATTACGTTTTTCTGGCTACGCCCCTACTTGCAATCCATACCTCCAGTTATTTTCATCTGCTTTGTATTTTTGCACAAAATAAACGTTTGAGAAAATAGAGAGCATGACAAAACACGAAGAGAATGATATCGTACAAAAAACTGTCTGACGAATCCCGAGAAGGAGAAAAAAATCTTAGCAAACAATTTGGAAAAAGAAAAGAAAAATTTTTGGTGATTCATCCAGCATGAATGGTGGGATAAAGGGCAAAAAAAATACATGTATCTTTATCTATTATCGTTTACAGTAGCAATTCTGACGCCAGATAGATTCTCAGAAAGACATCATTACACGACATGCATAGTAAAATCAGAGAGGGCTCATTGAGAGTGAATAACTAGAAATCTGAAAGAGCAACACTAAGTGTACATAGTAATAAAATATAATGTTGGCTTTTTCGTTAGAGAAAAGATGACAACAACTTATGTAAATGTTTCATGACGATACAAAAATCGTTGCGGTTCTTTCGTCAGACAATTCATAAATACCTATGTTGCAATATATTTCTTAAGCTAAGGTGCTGTTTGAGAATGCCATCTGCGCTATCATGGGATGTCTCAGAGATCGTAGCTATTTAATCAGTATTAACATGTGGATCACCATTCACTGTTTGTTTAACAGTATCAATATTTTGCTGGATGATGGTGATTATTGGATAATCACTTCAAGGATTATCTTCCAAGATATCTTCCTCATCTGAATATAGTTGAATATATCGAGCATCTTGTATTGACGATTTCACACATAACAGGTATAGCTGCTAGAACAAACCAACACACAGAACAGAAACAATAAAGAAGAAATTTTCGATACGTGTTATCAGAACTTTATGACTAGCCTATGTACATACGTTTTTACTTAACGATAGAAAACGGGGTGTAAACGGCCACTATTATGGCACCGTATGCGTCACTCCGTAATTCATCTGCAGCTTGTCGAAAACGGACGTTTATATACGGTAATCCTACGATCCGTTGGCAGTACATCATTTATCATTCCTTTACTATCGTTTACGGACCGTTTTGAGCGACCTGGCTAATAGTACATTAGTCGAACATTTTGTCGCCGTCGCGTGTGATTAAGAGTCTGATTCTAAGCGAGTAGATGATGAAGTCTTCAATGATTTATTTGATAAAACCGAAATAGTGGATAAGAGTTCTTGTATGTGGGAAGCAGGTGGTTCAAATTTCTGGGTATATACTTGAACGTTTGTATCTGTATGTTGTCGTTTGTTATCTAGGTTGTCCTGCTTAAAACATTGGACAGTGTTGCAGCATTTTTATTATTATTATTACTCTTCGTATTCATTTTCAGGTAAATCTATTGAAAAATAAATATCTTTATTATCTCTCTCTCTTGTCTGAACGAATCTGAGAATGAATATTTTTCTTTTGTAAGTTTCGCAAGTATATCTAAGTAGAATACAGCAAAAAACTTCTTGGAACAAACTATAGGTGCATAGCCTTTTTTTTGTCATCATTCACATATACACGTTACTTTACTTCTTTTTTTCTTTTTTTCTAAACTTTTTTTCTCTTCTAAATTTCAATAGTGTTCTTGGTATGCATTTATTTGGTGGTGAATTTTGCACGCTTGAATTATTCAATAGCACATCACATCAACAAATTGATATGAAATGCCGTTGTTGTGCATGCGGCGAATGGAATTTATTAAAAAATTCTACTAATCTCAAAGATTTAACATGTATACAAGAGAGAGCAAACTTCGATTCACTTCGTTTTGCATTATTAACCGTATTTCAGGTATCTTAAAATATTAATCAATAGGACTTTGCTTTTCATTCTTGCACGCATAAAACGATTTCCCTATTTTCAGCTTTATTGCTTGCTTCTTCTTAGCGCAAATATATCCTTCTGATTAATAATTTCATTTATCTTTTTGAATAATTCTAATTTGTGTGATATAAAATAGATACTAACACAAGAAGATTGGAATGAAGTACTTTATAATGGAATGAAAAAGACAAGTCCATGGTCGGCATTATATTTTATTGCACTTATGATATTTAACAATTATATATTACTCAATTTACTTGTTGCCATTCTTGTTGAAAGTTTTCCAAGCGCAGTAAATTAACGTTTTTCTTTAAATACTTTATTACTGTTTTATTTTATTTTATTTAGAAAGAAGATGGTAGAACAAATAGTAAAAATAGTACGAATAGATTGGACAAAGCAGATCAATTTAAAGTAAGAAATACAAAATAAAACAAAAATTGAAATATCTTTAAAAAATGTTTATTTTCAGACACAAACAATTATCACAGGTAATATTCAAATGCCCGAGAATCTCGATGAATCGACAAGTATTTATCAAACAATAAGAAGACAAGAAAAAAATGATAGACATACAGAACCTAATACTAGTAGTGCTATTCAGCTTGCTATTGATACTCAACTACTGGTAAACGATCATAATCACATACAGTTAGATGTGTCAGCTGAAGATAACACAATACTGGAAATAACAACTCAGAAATCAGGAGTAAATATTGATTTGTTTTAAATTCATTTTGAAGTAAATAGTCACTTGAAGAATATTCATTTATTATTACTTTCTTAGCTAACTTTAGTACTACATAGCAAAGATTATGATTTGTTCGCTTGTATCCGTCAGTGTCATCAGACAATGTGCAGGACATGTTTGTAATCGAAAAAGCATCGAATCTATTCATATTCGTGCTGGAGGTCAACCTAAAAAATTGTTTGTGATCGAGTCTAACGAGGGAACATATTCAGATGCCGGAGCGCTTTTCAGTTGGGACTAGGTACATCTTGTAGACATTAGTGAACTACGTCTACCCTAAAAAGAGTTCGGGCTCATTACCTGTTTGTGAGGAGATCGAACATTTTTAGTTTTACAGCTGAATATTTTTTTTAGGGTATCGCGACCACGTTGCAGCTTTTGTTGTGATGGAAATAGACTCGAAATGATTTAAGCAATAAAAACTCCAAAACCTCGCAAGAAATTGTTTTGGAAAATGTTTGGGTGTTTTGTTTTAAGTATTTCGAGTCTATCTCCATCAAAACAAAAGCGTTTTGAAAACGTTGTTTTTATCAAAATGCTCAGAATTGAAAGTTATACAAACGCTGAAAGTTTCATAAAAATCGGAGATCATTTTTATACAGCGTGGTCGCGATACCCTGAAAATATTCAGCTATAAAACTAAAAGCGTTTGATCTCCTCACAAACAGGTCATGGGTACGAACTCTTTTTGGGTATATGTAGTTTACTAATGTCTACAAGATGTACTTAGTTCCGACTGAAAAGGCCGCCAACATTTGAATATGTTCTCTCATCAGTCCAAAATTTTTGGAGGTCATAAATCTACCGCTTGATGTGCTTGACCTGAGTCAGAAAGTTTATCAAAATTAAAACTAGTAATGAACATATATTTCATTCTCCTCTTGACGTAAATTCTATTTTATTTTAGGTTATTCGATCATGTTTAAGTGAACTTGGTGGACAACGAATATTTGAATGTATAAAGAAGCGAGAAAACTATTCACTTCACCTTTTTTCACCTTCGAACAGGTAAAATTCTGTTCTGAGAATAATTCGAATAGGAAAATTTGTGATTCCATTTCCTTTGGTAGACTACGCAAAGTATTTCAACGATTAATTGTACAAAAATCATTTGATTATTTTATTCTTTTCTTTATTGCTCTCAATTGTATTACACTCGCTATGGAACGTCCATCGATTTCTCCAACAAGTTTTGTATGTAATCACTTAATTTTTATTGTCAAGTTAAAAGAAAATAACTGCAATTATATTGTAGGAACGACAATTTTTGAACTACGCTAATTACATATTTACAGCTGTTTTTACTATTGAAATGATAATTAAAGTAATTGCAAGTGGACTTATTTTTGGATCTAACACATATTTACATACCGGCTGGAATGTTATGGATGGATTTCTTGTAATTGTTTCAGTTGTTGATCTTTGTACAATGAATCAAGGTCGTATTACGTCACTCACAGAGTCGGATACAACATTACATATTCTGGGAATGTTAAGAGTCTTTCGTTTATTACGAACATTACGAGCACTGACAAGTTGGAAAATAGTTTTTTCTTTTCTTTTGATTGGTTTTTCCACTATATCGTTTTAGTTATCAATCGAGCACCTGGCCTTAAACTTGTGGTTCAAACTTTACTTTCATCATTGAGACCAATCGGTCATATTTTTCTTATTTGTTGTATATTCTTTATCATCTTTGGCATTCTTGGTGTTCAGGTAAAAGAAAGAAATGCAGCTCGGTACAAAAGTTTAAAATGATTTACTCCTGAAGTTGTGATACGTCAGTATAAAAATGTTTTTTTGTTTCCTATGGATAAAGTTCGATACTGATCTAGAGTATATTAGAAATCTAGTCAAAAGTTTTACTGTACTTATTTTTCACGATTTTTCGAGTTTCATTTAAGAATATGCTGAAAAAATCTTTTTTTCTGAGAAGTGACTACTATTCAAAATTTACGAATCCACGCTTTTTCAGACATTGTGCTTGCGTTTGAATGATGTTCCGTGCACGTTTTAAATTCCAGAGATAGCTGAAACGAAAATAAGGCAACGTAGTTCATATCTTCTTTCCGAGCTCCCAAGCTATACAACATCTAGTTTTCATTATTTCTTCCAGTAAAAATAATTCCATATGGTAGAGATCCGTGAGAGCATTGCCTTATATCTCATGGTCTTGAAATGGGACAGGACTAAATCTGATGAATGGTGGCCGGTCAAAAATCATCGAAAATATAGATGAACCATGGAAGCGGAATACCGCGGTCATTTATGCTCCGTGTGGTCGAAAACTGAAAAAGCTGGTTGTCGAATTCTTGCTCAAAGATTCAACAAAATTTGAAGCTTACCGATTAGAGTAGCTGACGCATTTCTCAAATTTGGTACCAGAAATCTTTAATTTTTGACTAGATGAAGCAACGCTTTTTCATGCTTTTTCACAATTCTTCGATTTCATTATTTACTTTTAAAAGTTTTTTTCAGCTCTTCAAAGGTAAATTCTACTATTGTGAAGGTCCTCTCGCTCATAATATAAGAACAAGACAAGAATGTGAAGCTATGTCTGATCATCGATGGCAAAATCGGCAATACAATTTTGATCATTTGGGTCAAGTATGCTATCAAATATAGTGTTATTATTAAGATAATTTTTAAAAAGTTACTTATTTTTATTTAGGCTCTACTAACACTATTTGTTCTTTCATCAAAAGATGGTTGGGTACAAATAATGTATAATGGTATTGATGCGGTTGATGTTGAAATGCAACCAATAAAGAATTATAGTGAAGCAAAATTAATTTATTTTGTATCATTTATTTTAATTGTCAGTTTTTTCGTTCTTAATATGTTCGTCGGTGTTATTGTTAAAAATTTCCGTAACTGTCAAGCCCAACAAGAGCTTGAAGAAGAAGCTCGAAATAATAAAGTAAAACATGCAAAAAAAATTAAATGTAAACAACATCTTATGCGTGAACTATCATATTATGCACATTTTTCATCATGGCGTAAACGTTTACATGATATATGCATTAGCAAATATTTTGATTTAATTATTGCTGCTATTATTGGTTTTAATGTTGTTACAATGTCACTTGAGTTTTATTCTATGCCATCTGTAAGTAAAAACAAAAATGTTTCATTAATTGTTTACATTGTTAAAACGTTTTGTTTTTAGGACTTAGATAAGTTTCTTGAATACTGTAATTATGTGTTTACGGGTGTATTCTCACTTGAATTTATATGGAAAATTATTGCACTTGGACCATCACGTTATTTTAAAGACAAGTATGGAAAAAATTAATTTGAGATTTTTTTATTTGATTTTTGTTTTAAGATGGAATCAAATGGATTCATCTATTGTATTTTTATCAATAGCTGATATAATAATGGAAAAAATATCAAGTGGACATATTCTTCCAATAAATCCGACACTTATTCGTGTGATTAGAGTATTGAGAATTGTACGAGGTAAATGAACGGAGTAAATGGAATAATAGATTTTTTCTTTTCTATTTCAGTACTGAAACTACTGAAAATGGCCAAAGGTGTTCGAACTCTATTAGATACTGTTCTTCAAGCTCTTCCACAAGTTGGAAATTTGGTAAATTGAATTATTTGGTTGTTTTTGAAGAAATTGTTTTATTTTTGCTTATTCTTCGAAATTAGAGTCTTCTGTTCATTCTTCTTTTCTTCATCTTTGCTACACTTGCTGTTGAATTATTTGGAAAATTGGAATGTAGTGAAGAACAACCATGCAGTGGTCTCAATAAACATGCACATTTTAAAAATTTTGGTATAGCTCTTCTTACATTATTTCGCATTGCAACAAGTGATAATTGGAATAGTATTATGAAAGTAGGTGATTGACAAAAACGATTAATTCTTTTTTTTTCATAAATAATGTTTCCAAGGATACTTTGCGTCAAGATGAATCACCTAATGCTATCAACAATAACTTTTTGAAAATAATTTCACCTATTTATTTTGTTGTTTTCATTCTTATGGCTCAATTTGTACTTATTAATATTGTTGTTGCTGTACTAATGAAAAACCTTGAAGTAACTAGTTATTACCAAGTCAAAATGGTTCGATTAGTTGTTTTTTTTTTGTTTTTAATTAGGATTCAAATAAGATGATAGTTGATGATGCTGAAATGGATGAAGAAATTGAACGACAACTTGAACCTGATGTACATGATGAAAATTATGTTGAAGAAGCATTACTCTAGACTTGAACACTCTTTATGTAAAAGAAAATGTAACATTTACAAAGTTATAAAGAATATTAAAAGAAAAAGTTTTAATATTCTTGACTGATAAGATCACAATCAATTAAAAAAGTATATATTCTTCAAAAAAAGTCATTATATGGGCAGAACTGAACAAATGACTCCAATAAGGAATCTAAGAGACAGATTTTTGTACGTTTTGATTCTAATTCTTCTTTCCATAAAAGTTTGTTCATATAGAGATTTGAAGCTTGAGAGTTTGGATGGAGTGTGGGTGTGGATGTGAATTTAAGTGTAGACATGACACCAACATTCACATCCAGTTCACAGCTATATTCACATCCACAGTTCACATCAACCACAAAACATCATTCAAGACTAATGCTTGATTATCGAAAGCTCAAGGGCAGTCAGATACACCTAGCTATGCTCTTCGTTCCTTTGATTTTCAAAAATGTCTTGAAAACGATATGTGACTGTCATTTGAAATAACTATATATTAACCGTTCATCTCGTCGAATTACGCTCTATCACAGGGCAAGCAAATGAGTGAGTGAAGAGCAGACCCTTATCTGCCGTAGCTGCCCAGTCAAACATGATTTTAAAAAGCACGCACGTAAACGCGCGATAATGGGTCCGTGTCCACGCATGTGTTGCTATAACCTTACTCGTATGTGAACGCGTCAAAGGGTAATCTCTTTCAGATCATATGACTCTCGTTCAAAGGTGACATTCGCAAGCAGGCCACTGTTGAAATTCAAAACTATTTTCGCAAGATTTCGACAATATTCATTCATAAATAATTCCGCTAGAGAATGAATACTTTAACTTGCAGACTAATATTTCTATTATTGATTTTTAATTGCAATAAAACTTTGAAACTTTTCTCTTTTACATATATCATGTATTCATTTGTAGAGAAAGAAACATCAGTGGAAAGGCAGAGAGATTCGAGATCGCTAACACACGAATAGATAGCCATACTTATTTCAGCTTGAAAAAGTGGGCATAACTCGCTAAGAACAATAAAGAAAGACTGAAATAACAATTTAAAAAAATATTATATAAGTATAGATGAGAAAAAGCTCATGTTCCCTTTCGCTTACTTTTTAACACGCTCTTATATGTTTCATAGATGGAAGCTAAAAGCAATCAGTGCGGCAAATATGTCTTGCCGATCAGGTCTGATGCTCGATGAAACCAACCGACAATGGAAGGCTAATGAGAACGATGATTCTTTGACTGCAAAAGAGATTTAGGGGTCTCATTTCGATCTTGAAATCTCCACGTCAAAATCGTGGAAACAATAGAATATCCGCTGATGTGGTTATATTTATTGTTTCCGTTATAAACGGATTCGGTATGGTTGTGGGTTTCGGTGTGGATGGATTAAGAGCACACTCACGCCCTAAAAGCCGTGATTACACAATCATGTAGTTACTTCTACTGCCGTCTCACATTTTTAGTTTTCATCATCACAACAACAGATACATAAACATGTAAAAAGTTCTAATATTTCCATTTAAATAAGATTCCAATCGCCGATAAAGCCAGGTTTGAATGTAATCAAGTTTCAGAGTCCTAATTCGAATGAAGCTCAGGCCTCATCCAATCTACGTTTAACCGTCTCTGCTTTGCTTGCAGCTTGTCTTCTCGTGTACCAACACAGCTTGCCTACCTCTGCTCTATCGATATCGAATTACACTTCACAATCACACGAAGCTACTTTTTAGACTAACGAAACCAATATCAGTGGCTTTTTCAAGGGGAAAAAAGCGGATCCTGGTGGATCCTGACGGAATCTGATGAATTGTAGAATAAATTATTTCAAGCGTACAGAAACGAGAATGGAAAAGTTGATCTTAATGGATATGAGAATTCTTTAAGGTCCAAATAAATTAAGTGAGAAAAAGGAATAGTGACTTGAGAATTTGTAACCAAGTAAGGAGAAAAAAAGATCCAGGATACCGAGATGATTATGTCTTGGTAAATTTTGGCTTATCATCATGGATTCTGCGCATTTTTTGGATCCATCAAGATTTACGCTTCCTCGATCGGTTTGATATTATTGTAATACATGATGATTTCTGTTGCATTCTAGTTATCTCTGATAAATTGTAATAGATTGTGTTGAATTATAGCCAATGGCGGTAATCTGTGACCGCTTTTGGCACACTTGTAGAAATATATTCTAAANCAGATGAAATGCTTTCAACGTACACAATACTTTACAGACACTATGCACAAGAAAACTCAGCACTAGGGTGATCTGGTCTTCAAACGCAAGGAGACATCAGATAAACTATACAGAATGTTTCCCCACACAAATCCTTCACAAAGCAATGATAAAGAAAAAATACGATACAGAACAGAATTATCAATATTCTTCAAACCATTTCCCCTTCTACATACTACTGATAACGATCTGAATAGAGAAATAAAATATTAGGATTTTATGACGAATATTACTCACCATTGATTGATGATTAAGATGAACCTAATAATTAAAAATAAAGCGTTTGTTTTTATTTGGAATAGTTGGTCATCTATCAGAATGAATGCTGGTCTTTACGTGGAGAAAGATCGCCTGAAGTAATCTGAGTCAAAGTAATCTTTTTACTGGTTGACTTGGATTGAATATTTTAACTTGATATCAAGGTCTCCTTTCTCCTGATTTTTGGATTTAACCATTCAGAGTGAAAAATCGTTTCGTATACAATCATTTTATGATTTGTGTTTAACCAGGCGAGTATAACATAAATGACGAGTTCACAAAAGAAAATTCTTGCGACAAAGTATGTTTTTTCGGAAATTATAATATATGGTATCATGCACTATGAAGATAATAAGGAAAGAAAACAAGATGGATTAAGTATATCTTTAGTTTTTTAATGTTGAAGAAAAGAAGAAGAAGAAGAAGAAATAAAAATAAAATCAATGTTTTTACATATAAACAATGGAAAATTATAATAAACGTGGTCTCTTGGGTTATATACATGATGAACATCTTGTTGTTTCTTGATGGTATTTTGTTTGTGCACGTTGTTTTTTTTCAGTTTTTGATGATCCAATGGTTAATACAGATTCCATAGACATTGCAATAATTGATTCGAAAATATTTCTGTTGTTAATAGCATTCATGTATTGTTTTTTCGGAAGGTATAAACTCATTTTTTTGTAGGTTCGATAGCAAACTTATGTTGTCCATTGAAACTGAAAAGAAATTGAAGAAAATATATATGCAACAGTTAGTAACGAAAGTAGAAGTTTAAGTTAATAAGCTAGAAATTGTTTCGAATACGCAATACAAATTCGTTTCTACTTAGAGGGTTTATGCTCCTAAATAGTGGTGATATTGTTCTACGTAGTATTTTTCAGGCGTAGCTCGTGGTGATTCGTCCCGAATATAAAAGAAAATATAGAGTTTTAAAAGCACTATTTATATAGGATTTTTGTGAACACATAACTTATGCCTCACATATTAAACAATGAAAAGATCATTCGAAAACATAAATGAAAAAAACTTACGAATTTTTCACTTTTCTTTACTGATCTTCACGGTCCTTTACCAAACTTATTCTTATTTCCAAGAGTTTGTTCATCAGTTTCTTGTAAAAGCTTTCGTGAATTCTAAAAGAGAGACTGGCCATAATACAAATGGGAAAAATACCGATATGTCTCTTTGACATAGGAAAAGAGAAAGCTTGCTATTTTTTACGAATGCTTGTCTCAACTCTTCCATATTGTTTGAAAAAAAACTTGTGACTTATAATATATTATGCAGGTATGACTTGTTAAAAGTTATCAAAACATAAATTTTTCAAGATAGGTGATCTTGTAAGACCACAATTTGTCATTAAGACACAAAGTTTCTAAATGCTGAATAATAAATTCTCACGAGTTTCCTAATTTCAATACGCAACGAAGAAGAAAAAATTCTGGTATTTCCTCTTCATAAAGCAAGTTCGTAATTAAAACCGAATTTTTTATGTATTTTACATGTTTATAAATTAATATTTAACATTCAGTATATGTTAATGAATCAAGTTGATGCTGTGCCAATAAGTGTTTTACATCCATAGGTAAATTATGATGATATAACAGTTTTAGTCGATATTGATTGATCAATTAAATTATAAAAATTCTCATAGGATTATAATAAAGAAAGATGAAATTCGCGTATTTTTGCTAATGTAAATGTAATATTTTTGAAATTTGATGATCATAAAGCCATTTTTTTGAAGTACAAATGCCTGCCTTCAAACCATTAACACCAATAGTTTCGTGATGGATCATTTCTTTTTATTATTTCAGCACAATGAATAGCAAAATGTACTTTTGCAGTAATATTATCTGATAGTTGATCAAGCATTAATAAATGAAAAAATATGTGTAAGTATATATTAGGCATGCACCGAGCCCGAACTTGCTGGGCTGGGTCATTTCCGGGTCCGGTGTTCCCGGTACCTAAAACATTAGATTTAGTGATTCATGCACTTTGATCTGTATTAGGCATCCTTAGAAGCCAGGTATGACCGAACCGGGGGATAAATGAACTCAGGAAATGACCGAATCTGAGAGCGATCGAACTCCGGGAATACCGAGCCCGGGATTCTCAGTCTGTATCCGGGTTCGGTGCATGTCTAATATATATATTTAGATAATAAGTCAGTTAGACAATTAATAATATCAATAAATATAATTGGCACCATTTGAAATAGCAAAAGTTTTTGTGAAGCTGAACCAGATATATGATATTTTTATCAGATGCTTTTGTCGAACAGCTAGAGATCTGTTAGGCTCATCGTTTTTCCCATATATAAAAATTTCTAGTCTTTTCTCAATTTGTGTATAAGTGAAAATTTGAGGTGCAGATAATTTTTTTAATATAGACTTGACGATTATCATGCATATACCTGAGAAATCATGCATGATATCGAAAGGTAATCATCTCAAGGAATGGAATTCAATTAAATTTGAAAAATCACTGCGACCATTAA